TTTAATTCTAATTCTATTTATTGTTGTAATTTATTATAATTATAATTATAATTCTATTTATTCATTATTGTAATTAATTATAATTATAATTCTATTTATTTACTATTGTAATTAATTATAATTGTAATTCTATTTATTCATTATTGTAATTAATTATCATTATAACTGTAATTAATTGTAATTATAATTCCAGTTATTTATAATTGTAATTAATTATAATTGCAATTCTAATTTGTTATAATTGTAATTAATTATAATTATAATTCTAATTTGTTATAATTGTAATTAATTATAATTGTAATTCTAATTTGTTATAATTGTAATTAATTATAATTGTAATTGCAAATAATGAATTAATAAAAAGAATAAAGGGGCAAAAAAGGAAAAGTAGAAAAACAAATTAATAAAAAATCCACTTATCATCACAATCCAACAAGTAAATAAATAAATAAATAAATAAATAAATAAATGCATTTATTAAATGTAATATTAATAAATATATTTATTTATATTACATTCATGTATTTATTTATTTATTGAAAAAAGAAGGAAAAGTAAAAAACAGAAAGAGACTTTTATCTCTTTTGAATTTCTTTTTTAAATCAAAAAAGAATTTAAAAATTTTTTTATTTTTGAACTTTTCAAAGCCAAAATTAAATTAAAACAAACAAAACTCTGTCTCCTTTTTAATTCTTTTTCTTTTTTTAAAAGCTCTTTTATATTTGTTTTTAAATTTTATTTATTTTTTTGGAATCTCCTTTGAGACTTTTCTTCTAAAATTTAATTTAGTACAATTTCCAAATCTCTTTTAGAATATCTTTTTAGTATTTTAAAATATCTTTTTAAGAGATCTTTTTAAAATATCTTTTTTAGTTTCCTTCTTAAGATATCTTTTTAAAGTCTTCTTTTAGTTTTTTCTTTTTAGACTTCTCTTGGAAAGTATTTTTCCAGAATATATTTCGGAGTTTCTTTTCAGAAGTTTTTCCCTGAAAATATATTTTTAGAACATCTTCTAACTCTCTTTTTAAAATCTTTTTCGAAGTTTTTAATTAAAAGTCTCTTTAAGAAGTATTTAAATTAAAAAATTAAAAGTTTTTAAAACTTTTAATTTTTTAATTTCCATTTATTTTTATTTTTGTTTTAAACACGAAGTCCTGCAAAGCGTTTATAATTTCATTTTCACTTTTATTTAAGTTTTGTTTTTCGAAAATTTCTTCAAAGACAAAATCCTCTTCAGACGAAAGAAATGACGGACACGCAGGATATCTGCTGCTGCTGCAGCTGCTGCTGCAGCTGCTGCTGCAGCTGCTGCTGCAGCTGCTGCTGCAGCTGCTGCTGCAGCTGCTGTTACACCAGCAGCAGCAGCTGCTGCTTTTGCTGCTGCAGCTGCTGCTTTTGCTGCTGCTGCAGCTGCTTTTGCTGCTGCAGCAGTTGCTTTTGCTGCTGCTGCAGCTGCTTTTGCTGCTGCAGCTGCTTTTGCTGCTGCAGCTGCTGCTGCAGCTGCTGCTGCAGCTGCTTTTGCTGCAGCTGCTAAAGGCCTGTATAAAATGAGTTTTGGGCTTTTAAAGTTTGGGATGATTTCACTTGAGGTGTACGTACACCTGGGAACACCCACGTGATATCGTTTGAACTTTCTGTGTCTCGACGCTCCAGAAAGAGTTTTAAGAATTGTTTAAAATGTTTTGACAATTATAATTCTTTTAAATTCATCTTTTTGAATTTATTTAAATCTAAATCCTCGGAAAAACACAAAACGCGTCTTCTCCGAATTCCATAAAACTGCGTCGGGGGCTCCGATGGCTTTTTATTTTTATTTTATTTTTATTTCTTCTTTTCCCGCCACTTTGCTGCTGCTGCAATCAAACAAAACACAAAATAAAGCCACTAATATATCACCTCCACACACAGCAGCAGCAGCAGCAGAAACAGCAGCACCATGAACATCAACAGCAGCAGCAAGAACATAGCAGCAGCAGCAAGAAAATAGCAGCAGCAGTAGCAGCAAGAACATCAGCAGCAGCAGCAGCAGCAAGAACATAGCAGCAACAGTAGCAGCGAGAACATCAGCAGCAGCAGCAGCAGCAAGAACATCAGCAGCAGCAGCAGCAGCAAGAACATCAGCAGCAGCAGCAGCAGGAGAAAGTGGATTTGTCGCACTTGTATCAGTCGTCGCTTTCTGCTTCTTCTTCTGCTGCCTTGGGGGACTGCTGCGCTGCTGCTGCTGCTGCTGCTGCTGCTGCTGCTGCTGCTGCTCCTTTAAATGAAATATCTTTTAGTTTTAAACATCCAACAAATCCAAAGTTTATCCATTTAGACCCCGAGAGCAGCAGCAAATTGCCTTCGGCCCCCAGCACCCAGAGGCGGTTGCGGGTGTCGAAGGCGAAGTCCACGGGGCGCAGCGCGCCGGGGATTTCCTGAATTCGCGAAAACAGCACCAAATTTCCTCCAACTGCGTGGAATTTTGAGACAATTGGAGATAATTATTTAAAAATAATTCATATTTTCCGAAAAATAATCAAAAATGCGGAAAAAACGAACAAAAACGACACTTTTCACTCCCAGTTTCAACGCTTTGCACTTGCACTCCGGAGCTTCAAGCATGCGCGGAAACACTGACAAATTAAGTGGAATTAAGTCGAATTTGGTGGAAATAAGTCGAAATTAGTGAAAATAAATGAAGTTTAATTGAAATTGGAGATCATTAATGAAAAGATAATGAAAAATAAACGAAATCCGGCAAAAAATGAACAAAAATGGGCACTTTTCGCTACTTGTTCGAAAAATAATTCAATTTCTCGGAAATTGAAGAAATTAAAACTAAAACGAAATGCAAAATCCCAAAAAGTCGAAAAAAAGTTTTTAAAAATGAAAAAAGAAATAAAAAAGATATGCTGAAGTGTCTTGTTTTCTCTTCTTTGAATGTGCTACAAAAGAAACTCCAAAAGAAGAAAAACATCAAAAGGAAATGAAAAAAAAGCCAAAAAGAAAAGAAAGTAAACAGAAAAAGGATCAAAAAAGAAATTAAATTAAAAAAAACAAAAAGGTGAAAAGGACAAAAAGGTTAACAAAGAAATGCCAAAAAGGTGAAAAAGAATAAAAGTTCGAGCAAAAACAAAAACTGAAAACCAAACATATTGCGAAAAAAGAAATTAAAAGAAAAAAGAATAAAAATTAAATAAAAAATAAACAAAAGAGAATGAAAAAGAAGTAAAAAGCAGTAAAAAAAGACATCCAACAGAATAAAAAAGAGGTAAAAAAGCAGCAAAAAAGCACAAAAAAAGAAAAAAAAGCACCAAAAAAGACAAAAAGCAACAAAAGAGAACAAAAAGAGTAAAAAGCAAACAAAAAGAGTAAAAGCTAAACAAAAAGAGTAAAAACTGGACAAAAAAGAAAAAAAAAAGAAACAAAAAAGCAAAAAAAGAAAATAAAAAGACCTTAATGTCCCAGTCCTTTTCTTCTTCGCTCCAAACCGCCAGTTCGCTCGCAGCATTGAGGGCCCAAAGATTTCCTTTTCTGTCAAACTCAATTGTTTTTAATTTGTGAAATCCTTTTTGTTCTTTTGTCTCCAAAGAAAACCCTCCCCAACGCAGCAGCTCCCCCTGCGCCACCCACGTATTCCCCCTTTTAGGGTTTAGGGTTTGCAGCGGCACCCCGCTATTCCCCCTTTTAGGGTTTAGGGTTTGCAGCGGCGCCCGCTATTCCCCTTTTTAGGGTTTAGGCTTTGCAGCGGCGCCCCGCTATTCCCCCTTTTAGGGTTTAGGGTTTACAGGGGGACCACGCTATTCCCCCTTTTAGGGTTTAGGGTTTACAGGGGGCCGCGCTACTCACTCCCCCTTTTAGAGTTCAGGGTTTGCACTACTCCCCCTTTTAGGGTTTGGGGTCTTCAACAGGAGCGCACTATTCCCCCTTTTAGGGTTTGGGGTTTACAAGGGGCGTCTAGGGTTTAGGGTAGGGACCGAGGATTTAGGGGTCCTAGGGTTTAGGGTTTGGCAGCAGGGTTTAGGGTTTGCGTTTTGGAGCCCTGCGGGCTCGTTTTTTCGCGCCGGAGGCGCTAGGGTTTAGGGTTTAGGGTTTGGGGTTTAGGGTTTAGGGTTTAGGGTTTCGTACTATGCGGTTAACGGCCCACAAAGTCCCATTTAATGGACTAAATGCCAAATCGGAAATAAATTCATTTCCCAAAAGTCCCAAAGACTTGAAGCCTGAGGTGTACAGACGCCCCACTTCGAAGTTCTCGCTCACGCCCCACAAACGGCCGTCCTGAAGAAAACAAATAAATAAATAAATAAATAAATAAATAAATAAATAAATAAATAAATAATAAATAAATAAATAAATAAATAAATGAATAAATTGTTTTGAATGAATGTGGTGGTTTCGTTTGCAGAATTGATTTTCGTCATTTTTCAAAAACAAGGCGAAGGGAATTTCTTTTTCCGAACTTCAATCAAAAATTGAAAATGCAGAAATTAAACAATTAAAATAAATTAAAATAAATGGGTAGAAATTAAAATAAATGAAAAGAAATTAAATAAATAGATACTAAAAAATAAATAAAAAGAAATTAAAATAAATAAAAAGAAGAAAGTCAAAGGATATTTGTTTTGTAAAGGCTTTTCGAACAAATAAAATGAATGCCATCAGAGTCTAAAAGAAATAAATGAAAAGAGAAATAAAAATAAAACAAAAGACAAAAACAAACCAGAAAAAAAATAAAATTAAATAATAAAAAATAAAGTAAAACAAACAAAAAGTAAAATAAAATAAAAAACAAACAAAATAAAATAAATAAAAAATAAAATAAATAAGAAAAATAAATAAAATAAAAATAAAAATAAATGAAGAAGAAAGTGCCGAAGACCGCGAAACAAAAACCCGCTTTGATAAAAAGCAATTCAAATAACAAAACTAAAGAGGATAAAAGCAATTACAATAAAACTAAAACAATTACAATGAAATAAAACAATTATAATGAAAATAAAATCAATTATAATGAAAATAAAAACAATTATAATGAAAATAAAAACAATTATCATAAAAATAAAAACAAAAGTGATGAAAAAAACAACAAAAGTTCCAAAAAAAGCAAAAATCTCAAATTCTGGCAATCCGCGAAAAAGAATAATTAATTGCTCAATTTGGGGCCTTAAAAAGCCCAAAAAGGGGCCCCCAAAGGGGCCCCCAAGGGGCCCCCTGGGGGCCCCTAAAGGGCCCCCGGGGGGCCCCCAAGGGGCCCCAAAAGGGCCAAAAAAGGGTTTAAATGACTCACTTTGTCGTAAGTAATTCGAGCCAAAGAAACTCCTCTTCTTATTTTCCAGCCAAAGCCAGTCCAAGTGGCCAATTCGCCAGCAGCAGTTAAAGCGGCCATGTTTTTGAAAGTCTAATAAATAAATAAATAAATAAATAAATAAATAAATAAATAATAAATAAATAAATAAATAAATAAATAAACAGATAAATAATTAAGTTAATTAATTAATTAATTAATTAATTGATTAAGCGGTTTAATTGCTAGTTAAAGGGCCAAACAAAAACTCAGAAATTAAAATTTGAAAAAAACTCGAGCAAAATTAAACAAATTAAAAAATAAAAATATACAATTTGTTTTATAAATAAATATTAAATTAATAATAGACAAATTCTAAACAGACGAATTTCAAACAAACAAACTATTAACTGCCAAGTAAGCGTAAACCCTAAACCCTAAACCCTAAACCCTAAACCCTAAACCCTAAACCCTAAATAGGCAAATATATGAGTAACAAGCAGCAATGATCAGACAGAAACTATATTTGCAATTAAAGAATAATTGACAGAGACAAAGAGATTAAAAGATAAAAACAAATAAATAAATAAACAAACAAATAAATAAATAAATAAATAAATAAATAAATAACAATAAATAAAAACAAATTAAAAAATAAAAATAAACATTTCTCCAAATTACCCCTAAGCCGCCCTTTATGGACAACTCCTCTTCAATTTCTTTGTCCGAGTCTCCTCCGCCCATAAGGCCCTAAATAAATAAATAAATAAATAAATAAATAAATAAATAAATAAATAAATAAATAGTTATAATCAATTAATTAATTGAAAATAAATTAAATAAATTGAAGCAGTTTGTCTTACCCGTGTCCTTCTCGGCTGTCTGTACAGCGCAAGCCTAGCAGCAGATCTTCCTGGAGACGCTCGCTGCTGCTGCTGCTGCTGCTGCCGCTGCTGCTGCTGCTGCTGCTGCTGCTGCTGCTGCTGCGGCTTCATGGGCATGCCGGGACCCCCAAAGGGGCCCCCGTACCCTCCTTGGGGGCCCCCCTGCATGGGGCCCCTCATGTCGAGGGGCCCCCCAGTGCCCCCTCCCCCTTCTCCCAGCATCATGGAGCCCCCAGGGGGGCCCCCCATGGGGCCCCCAGGGGGGCCCCCCATGGGGCCCCCGGGGGGGCCCCCCATGGGGCCTCCCCCCGGAGGCCTCATTTGCATCCCTGGGGGGCCCCCTGGGCCCCCCATCTGGGGTTGCATTGGCCTGCCCATGGGGCCCCCAGGGGGGCCCCCCATGGGGCCCCCCGGAGGACCTCCCATAGGGCCCCCGGGGGGGCCCCCCATGGGGCCTCCAGGGGGGCCCCCCATAGGGCCCCCCATGGGGCCTCTAGGAGGGCCTCCCGGGGGCCCCTGGGGGCCCCCCATGGGGCCTCTGGGTGGGCCCCCTTGGGGGCCCCCCATCGTACCCCCTGGAGCTCCCTGGAAGCTGCCTTGAGGGCCCCCCATGCCGGGTCTGGGGCCCTGGGGGCCCCCCATGGGGCCCCCCTGGGGGCCTCCCATATTGCCCATGGGGCCCATTCTTGGGGGCCCACCGGGGCCCCCCATAGGGGGGCCCCCAGGTCTTTGCTGGGGGTTCATGGGGCCCCCCATACCCTGGGGGCCCCCCTGGGGCTGCTGCATGGGCCTGCCGGGGGGGCCCCTGGGGCCCCCTGGCTGGTCCTGGGGCCCCCGGAACTGAGGGGGGCCCCCCTGCTGCTGCGGCTGCTGCATGGCAGCTTGAATGTGCTGCTGCAGCACAGAGCGGAGGGCAGGGCTGGGAGGGGCTGCAGCGGCGCGGCGGGAAGCCGCGAGGGTTTAGGGTTTAGGGTTTAGGGTTTGGCGGTCGTCGGCCGGGTGGCTCGACGCAGCGCGGGCCTGTCTGCAGGCCTTCCTCGGGCTTTTGTGATGAAAAAGGATTAGTTTGAGTCTTTTGAAATATATTAAATGAAAAAAGGGAAAAAAACTCACTTTTCCAGGCCAAAAAGATCGAGCCTAGGCTGCGCAGCAGCAGATTGCCCAGGTAGCGGCAGCAGCAGCAGCAGCAGCAGCAGGCCAGCAGCAGCACTTGTAGAGGGTCTTGGAAGTGCTCTTTAGAGAACTTCTGGGTTTTATTTGAATCTTTTAAACTTATCTCAAAGAATAAAAGGGAAATAGCGGAGAAAAATAGACAAAAGGCAGCAGCAGCAGCAGGAAGGCCACTGGCTTCTGGCTGCTCAGCTGCAGCGCCGACTGCAGCGGGCAGCAGCAGCAGCAGCAGCAGCAGCAGCAGCAGCAGCCGGCCTTGGCTCGACGCAGCTCCCCAGCCCCTTTTGCCCTCCTTTTGAATCTATTAAATTGTTTTTCTCTTTTTAATTCAATTATTTTCAAGAAAACTCCCAAATCCACTCCCCTACACCTCACTGCAGCAGCAGCAGCAGCAGCTGCTGCACACGGCCGCAGTTCGGCTGCGCTCGCGCCAGATTTCAGGTGTATGTACACCTCCCTGCTGCTGCTGCTGCTGCTGCTGCTGCTGCTCCTCTTCGAGGCTTGTGTCTAAAGATCAAGCAGACGCTGCTGCTGCTGCTGCTGCCGTTACTGCTGCTGCTGCTGCTGCTGCCGTCGACTTCACTGCGGCGTGTTGGTCTTGCAGCAGCAGCAGCAGCAGCAGCAGCAGCAGCAGCACTAGAAGTAGCTCCTGCAGCAGCAGCAGGAATAAGCTTCTTTGTAGTCCGTGATGCTGCTTCAGTTTTGTCTGAGGTTTCCTGTTTCTGCATCACCCTGCTGCTGCTGCTGCTGCTGCTGCTGCTGATGTTTATGCTATTGTTGCTGCTGCTGCCCTTGTTGCTGCTGCTGCTGCTGCTCCTGCTGCACTTTTTGCTGCTGCTCTTGCCACTGCTGCGGCTACCTTCTCCGCTGCTTTTGTTGCTGCGGTTGCTGTTGCTGCTGCTGCTGTTATGATTCTTGCGGCTGCTGGTGCCTTCGCTGCTGCTGCTGCTGCTGCTCCTGTTAGCGTTCTTGCTGCTGCTATTGCCTTTGCTGCTGCTGCTGCTGCTGCTGCAGCTGGTTCAAATGGGAGAGCTGTGCAGTGTTCCCTAGATCCTAAAATTGTGGCTGCGATGGCAGTCCTTATTTTGCTGCTGCTGCTGCTGCTGCTGCTGCTGCTGCTGCTGAGATTTACGAAAGCAAATCCCTTTTTAATTTATTATTATTTTTTAGTCTTTTTAATTCATTTAATTTTAATTAATTTTCCCCTTCTTTCGACTCAGCAGCAAAGGCAGCCAAAGCAGCAGCAGCAGCAGCAAGCCGCCGCAGCAATAGCCACAGCAAACTGCAGCAGCAGCAGCAATAGCAGCAACTGCAGCAGCAACGAACAGCAGCAGCAGCAGCACACACCGCAGCAGCAGCAGTAACACACACCGCAGCAGCAGCAGCAGCAGCAGCAAGCAGCAGCAGCAGCGGGAGGAAGGGCTGTGTGTAAGAACCTTAACGGCAGGTGCATTTGCGGAAACACATTTTATTTCAAGACATTTATTTTCTGAACTTTTATGCTTTTTGTTTGTCTCAAGATTGGAAACTTTGAAAGATTTAATGCATTTATAATTTCGTAATTCGCCGCTCCTCAGCAGCAGCTGCTCGAGGTGTACGTACACCGCGGAAAGCGAGAGCAGAAGTCCGCGGCGGCCGCTTCGGGTGTACGTACACCTCAGACTGCAGCCGCCGAGGAACCAGGGGCGCTCCTTTCGCGTTTATTTCGCAAATAAATGGAAATTAAAAGAATAAAATGATTATTTAGTTCAAAATTGGGGATTTGTTTGGCTGTTTAATGCCAGAAGACCCGGGGGCCCCCGCCGGCTCGCCTGCGGTGGCCGCGCAGCAGCTGGGACGCAATCGGGGGCCTCCTTGCGGTTTGAATTGTTTTTTAAGCGAATAAATTGGTTTAATTAATTAAAAAAGAGTTATTGTTCCAGTTTTAAATTCGTTTCTGCGGCTCGAACTGCAGCAACGGCCTTCCCCGGCCCGCCGCGGCGCCGCAGCCCTTGAGGTGTATGTGCAGCTCTCGGGGTGTACCCCGAGCTCTCCCGCGGAATTAAGCGGCTCCGGAGAAACGCGTTTGCCATTTTTGTTGCAGTTGGGTCGAAGTTGCTGCAGCAGAAGGGCAGCAGCAGCAGCAGCAGCAGCAGCAGCAGCAGCCCCGTGGGCGGGTCTGGGTGGGGGTCGCCGTTTTGGGGCGAAAATTGGGTGTTTTTTCGCGATTTTTCGTTTTTCTGGGTTTTAAATTGTAATTTATTTCTTTATATTCTCAAAAATCCGCGAAAATGCCAATAGATCCCTCCAGATGGCTCACTCAGCGGCACAAACACCCCAGAATTGGCCCTGCCTACCAAGCCACCATCCCTGCGCTGCAGGGGGCGCCTTTCCCGCAGGTGCCTTTGCGCTGGCTGGGCGAAGCAGCAGCAGCAGAGACGCCAGCAGCAGCAGCAGCAGCAGCAGCAGCAGGGGCTGCTGCTGCGGCGCCCGCCGACGCAGCCGCCAGGGGAGCGGCCGCCAGAAACAACAAAGCAGCAGCAGCAGCAGCAGCAGCAGCAGCAAACAGAAACAGCAGCACCCCCAGCTGCCGGCCAGTCACCCGTAAGATGAGGGCCTCAGCAGCAAAGGGCCTGGACCCCGCCAGCGAACTGCAGCAGCAGCAGCAGCAGCAGCAGCAGCTAGCAGCAGCAGATGTTACTTTTGCTGCTAGTTTATTTGCTGACGCTGCTAGGGAAATGAAGGAGGGTGAGGAAGGTCTTCCCATGGAGACCTTTTCTGCTGCGCCGCCCGGCAGCAGCAGCAGCAGCAGCAGCAGCAGCAGCACTGCAGCAGCAGAAGCAGCAGAAGCAGCAGCACGGCACGCCGATGCTGCTGGCTACCTGCTGCAGAGCATTTCTGTGGCGGAAGCAGCAGCAGCAGAAGAAGCAGCAACAGCAGCAGCGGCAGAAGCAGCAACAGCAGCAGCTGCTGCTGAGGCAGCAACAGCAGCAGCAGCAGCACAAGTAGCCGCAGCAGAAGCCGCAGCAGCAGAAGCTGCTGCAGCAGAAGCTGCAGCAGCAGCAGCAGCAAGCGGACCCCTCGCTGCACTCGCAGCGACTTGTTTGCTGCCACCTCTTGGGAAGCACCCACTGACAGAGGATGACAGCAGCAGCAGCAGCAGCAGCAGCAACAGCAGCAGCAGCAGCAGCAGCAGCAGCAAAAAGGCTAAGCTGGAGGAATAGGTTTCAAGTTGCATTTCTTTGCAAGAAAACTTTCTTTATAAACAAAAAAATAATTGTTTTTGTTTGCTGCGGAGCAGCAGAATAAAACTCAAAATAAATTAAATTAATAAATAAAAGGGAATAAACAAATAAATTAAGAATAAACAAATAATTAAACAAAGTAAATATAAACAAATCAAATAAAGGAATTAAATAAATAAAATAAAATCAAATGCAATTTTAAATTATTAAAAAACAAATTCAAATTAACCAAAAGCCCCAAAACTGGCAAATATGGGGAAAGTGTAAAAAGACAAAAAGTAAATATTTTCAAGAAGTTGCCAAAAACAAAAAACTAAAAGTCAGCAAATTAAAATATTTGCAACTAGCAGCAGCAGCAGCAGCAGCAGCAGCAACAGCAGCATTTACAGCAGCAGCAGCAGCAGCAGCATTAACAGCAGCAGCAGCAGCAGCAGCATTAATAGCAGCAGCAGCAGCAGCAGAGAGGTGTTTGCTGCCAAAGAGAGGCTTAATTGGTATATTTTGTTTTCGCTTTTGGGCGACCTGCGCATGCACGGGGGGGGGGGGGGATGTGCTGGCATCATTTCCGCCATTATTGCCATTATTATTGTTCTTTTTGCAATTAAAAAAGTAAAAAAATGATTTAAATGAATAAATAAAAGAAAATAAAAGAAAAAGAATCGAAAAAGGGGAAGAAAAAGAAGAAAGCAGAACCACCCGTCGGTGGTGAGGTGGACGTACACCTGGCGTGCTTGCCACCCAAGCGAACCCAATTGAATATTTTGTTGAAATTAAATTTCAAAATAATAAATTAATAAAATAAAAGAAATAAAAAACAAAAAAAGGAAAAGATTGCAGCAAAGAGAGGCCCTAGGAAGCCTCGCCTCGGGGGCCCCCAGGGGGGCCCCCGGGGGCCCCCCGGGGCCCCCAGGGGCCCCCCGCTGCTGCAGGGTCTTTTTGTATTATTATTTTGGCATTTTTTTGCTCCTTTTCAACTTGGAATGCAAAATAAAATATATTTTCAACTTTTGAGTTCATTTAGACTTTCTTTTTGCTTCTGTCGGCTGCGTTTCAGAATCCCCCACGGTCGCGAGGTGTATGTACACCTCAGCTGCTGCTCGCTGGCCCTCTCCAGCTGCTGCTGCAGCTGCGAGCCCAGTAATTAAATTCAATCAAATAAATATAATTTAATTAATATTTCTTTTTTTAAATTAAGGAACAAAGATTAACTCCAAATTTCTGTATTTAAAGCTGCCAGCAGCAAGATACAAACAGATTCCAGCAGCAGCAGCAGCAGCAGCAGCAGCAGCAGCAGCAGCGATAGCCGAACACCCCACACAAACGGCAGCAGCAGCAGCAGAACGCTCCCATCAAACAGCAGCAGCAGCAGCAGAACGTTCCACCCACAGATCAGCAGCTGCAGCCGAGCATTCCACTCAAAGAGCAGCAGCAGCAGCAGCAGCAGCAATCGACACGAAGGCAGCAGCAGCAGCAGCAGCAGCAGCAGCTGCAACCGAGGCAGCAGCAGCAGCAGTGTCTCCGTTTTTCTTCCGGCTTCGTCTCCACACCTGCTTGCCTGCTGTTTTCAAATCTGAACAAATAAATAAATAAATAAATAAATAAATAATAAATAAATAAATAAATAAATAAATAAATAAATAAATAAATAAATAATTGTTTTATTATTGAATTATTTCAAGGGGAAAATGCAAGCAGCACTGGCTTTCGAAAGGGTGTGGGTGAGGCTGCTGCCAAACCCGCTGCAGCGGCAGCAGCTGCTGCTGCAGCAGCAGCAGGAGTTTCAGCAGCAGCAGAAGCTGCAGCAGCAGCAGGAGCTGCAGCAGCAGCTGCAGCAGCAGCAGCAGGAATGTGGCTACTCCCCGGAGTTGTACGCTGGGCAGCACTGCGTGTGCCTGAAGCGGCTCGCTGCTGCTGCTGCTGCTGCTGGCACAGCTGCTGCTGCTGCTGCTGCTGCTGCTGCATGCCCCTTCGGCTGCAGGTTTGTTGCTGCTGAAGCAGCAGCAACAGAGACCAAAGAAGACATTGCTGCGCTGCTGCAGGAGCTGCTGCCTTCTGGCTTCCGCACAAATTACAAAATCTACATCCGACAAAAATGCAGCAGCAGCAGCAGCAGCAGCAGCAGCAGCCCCAACGAGGGGGGCCCCCCTCAGGCTTTGGGGGCCCCCCAGGGGGCCCCTCAGGGGCCCCCCCAGGGGACCCCTCAGGGGGCCCCTCAGGGGGCCCCCCAGGGGGCCCCTCAGGGTTTGGGGGCCCCTAAGGTCTCGGGAGAACCTGTGGGGGCCCCTGAGGGGGCCCCTGGGGGGGCCCCTGGGG